GAATCCTGCCGTACACGCAATCTGCAGTAAGATGACCAGCGAGACCGTGTCGTAGAACTTTTCTATATCCAACAACAATGTCATGGCCGAGGCGCTGATCTCGATGCCTGTCTCGTCCAAGATCGACCGAAGGAGTCCTGCCCTGAGCGCCGAGCTCCCCTTGATCGCAGTGTCCCAGTGGTCTGATAGCCCAGCACTCCACGAGGCACATGCTCCGCCTCTCGCTCTCGACCATAACTTAACTGGTAACGGTAACATACCCAATACTCGATCACCTGCACCTGGCCCAGGCTTGGCCACCATAGCACACTTGGTGGCTGATAGCTGTCCTGGCCATGTCAGAGTTCTTTCACTTCTCTGCAAGATTTCCAACAATTCTTGCTTAGCCTGGCCAGGAAGTCTGTCAATATCCGCGGGGCCAAGCTGATCCAGACCTTTCGCTTTGGATGCCGATGTGGCTCGGAGCGCACTATTGAGCATGTCCATGTCTATGGGGTCTAGGTCTTCCTCCCACGCTCTTCGCTTGGTGCGCTCCAGCTGCTCAATGATGTCAGCTCGACTGTCCACGGGGTCCGTCCAGATGGTCTCCCACTTTCCTGCCTTAGTGTTCATGATGATGGTGGGGTCAGCTGTGGCGAAGTCGTCTCTGATGGCCATCTCATAGCGGGGCGCGTCCTTGGGCTTGACATGCCTGTGCAGGATGCCCGCCTTGGTCTGCCATACCTTTTTTGCCCAGGTGGCGAAGTTCTTCCGAGCCGTGGTCATAGATCTGGACGGCGCCACCGCCAAGTGCTTCTCTGTCTGGGCCACCAGATTCGCTAGCTGCCCCTCGTCCAACTGCCATATGTCGGATGCCATGTCGAAGTACATCTCTCTGCTGGCCTTAGTCACATTCTTGCTGAAAGCGTCCTTCAGCGGCAATCCTCTCAGAACTCCAAGCTGCTTCTGTATGCGTGTCACGCACATTCTCTGCTGCTGTCCGTCAGTGCCGTTCGCAAAGAGTGACTGATATCTGACCAGATCTGCTGCCAGTATACTCCATTCTTCCGCAGGGCCATACCGCATGTGAGTTCTGCCTGGCGTGGGTTTTGCTCGCACCCATCGTATATCAAAGCCAGCCGCACGCCCCTGGCAGCCCTGCGCCTCCTGCTCGTCCAGCTGCTCGTGCCTGATGAACACCTCCTCCACCTTGGCGACCCACTGGCCATACTGCTGAGTCAACTGGTACTCATCCTTCTGGTGCTTCGTGCCTCTGGTGATCATCTTCTCACCTATGATGTGCATTTCCTCCGACAGCTCCATCTCGTGCTCCACGATCCCTATCTGCTCCCAAAGCTCCTCCGAGACGCAGTAGGGCATCTTCCGCACTGGTGCGCCCTGGCTGTCGGGGACATGCTGCTCGAGTATCATAGCATCCTCGTAAGCCTCCTGCAAGTGCTCCTCCAGGGCCTGCTGCCGACGTCGCTGCGCTTCCTGCTTCCTCTTGCTCGTCCTGGAGTCAGGGTCCGCCGCCTTCTGAGGTCTCGCCTGGTATGGGAGCGCCTTAGGGATAACTAGCTTCCTATGCCACCAGCTTTCTTTGGTGCCCTCGATCGTTAGCTGGAGCCCACAATGCGTGCGCCATGGCACACGACCCTGAACGTACAGCTTGAGTCTAGGGGCGAAGTCCACTCTTGCTATGCCGTAATCAATGAGGCTTCCCTTGCCTTTGTCACATGTGATGCCAACATCTGGTCGTAGCACCACTCCTCCTAGCTTGCCAGGTAGCTCAGCGCGTTCCATGCTGTCCGCTGGTATGTTCCAATCAGCCAGGACCACCCATGGGTCCGTGAGAGATCTGATGAAGCCTGACAGGGATCGAATCCGGTGGTAATTCGACCCTGTGAATCCTTCTCCTGGAACCAGGTAGGCCGAGATCAGGATGACGTTGCCCGAGCGCGTGTGGACATTGAGTGCCGCGAAGCCCCTGAACGGGTCGACGTCTCCGTTGTCCACGATGCGCTTCCTCAACAGGTCGTATCCAGTGCATGCGAGGTGAGTCCTGGCCATTATGAACTCGCCCCCCGAGGTGCCCCTCTCAGACCGCTTTGTGGGCACCGCCGCCGTGCCCTGTAGCTTCCAACCATCTCGTGCCACCACCTCACGTACCTGCTCCAGTCGCTCTCGATCCACGTGCGTCTCGCACATCATGATGATATCCTTCTACTTGCCTTCTTCCGTGATAAACTTATGGGCCTTAGGCCCCCACATTGTGATATTCGAGAAGAAGATGCTAAAGACTCTGCTCGCCACCAGGAGCCTTATCAGCCTCTGCACCCCGCACCGCGTCCCTGTACGCCGTGGGGGCGGTCTTGGCCTTGGCGCCCCTGACCTTGTGCTCGGCTTGCTGCTTGATCTTGTCAATGACCTCCTTCTGCTCGCGTTTCTGCTCCTCTGTGGGTGGCGGCTGGGTGGGGCTGGCTCCTCCCGTCCCCGCCGCCGCAGATGACGCCGCGGAGCCCCCACCAGATGCCGCTGGCGCCTGGGCCTCCTGCGCGTCGTTCTTGGTCTCGTCCTCCGTGGTCTTGCGCTTCTTCTGTGCCTGCCGTCTGAAACGGTCCGCCTGCTGCTTGAGCTCGCTGAACTTCCGAAACTGCCCTGCAGCTGCCTGCAGCAACTTGTCCAGCGCCTCCATGTCTGCCTTGAACTTGACCAGCTTGGCCTTGTCCTCCTCCTCATACTCGTCCAGGTCATCGAAGAGGTCCCCAACCGCAGGTGCCTGCCAGTCCGCCTGCTGAGGCGGCTCGGGGTCCTGGCACACTGTCTCCGCCTGGTACGCCGCCAGCGCGCGCTTATGCTCCAGCACCGCGTCTGCTGCATCCTCGATGGCCTTCTGGTTCTTAGTGCGCAGCTGCATGACGTGGTCCTCCGCCTCCTGCAGGGCCGCCGCGGAGCTGTCCACCTCCAGCTGGCAGCGGTTGAGCTTGTTGATCGCCTGCCGCAGCTCGAGCTCCCTGGACACTTCCTTCTTGGGCGCCGCCGCCGCCGCAGCCGCCTGCACCTGCGACTGCACCGCCTTGACGGGTCCCAGGTCCACCTGCGGCGCCATCTGCGCCGTGAGGGACTCGACACGCTCCAGCATGCTGCTGAGCTCCGCCAGCGTGCCATGGACCGCCGTCGGCTTGCGCCAGGGGGGCCCCTTGCCTGTGCTCTTGCCCTTGTCCGCCGCCGCCGTGCCTGGGGCCATAGGCTTCCACCCCGGCATGACTGACTGGCACTTGTTGCACCACCCACCTGACCTCTCCAGCTTCCAGTCGTAGACCCAGCCTCCGCAGGTCGCACAAATCGAGTAGGTCTGGCGCCCGCGCCCCATGGCCTGCGCAGGCTCGTGGTGTGTGCCTCGGATGCTCCAAGGTGGGGCGGACCACCTCGGTGCTCACCCTGGGGCTGACCAGGGGAAGGAATGCAAACTGGCCGCGGACTAGCGGTATCCACTTGTTCCCCAGCGGAACAAAGCATCTTGAGCCAAAATGGCTACGGAGGAGGAGGAGGAGGAGGAGAAGGAGGAGGAGGAGGAGGAGGAGGAGTATATGGATGTCGAGGAGGATGAGACTGAGCAGGAGGAGGAGCAGGACATGGGCGAGGAGAAGCATGCGCCCAGCGAGCCTCGACTCTGCCCCTGTGGCACGGGGGGGCGTCAGCACAACGACGGGCGCCTCTGGGCCCGTGCCTCTCCCCTTCCTCCCCTCCTCCTCCTCATCCTTTTTCTCCTCCTTCCTCTACCTTCCTCCTCCGCCTCCTCTTCCTCCTCCTCCTCTTACCTTCCTCCATTTCTCGCCCACGATCTCCGCCTTCTCCGTGGGACATAAGCAGTCGATGGTTAGCAGCGCGAATCCAGTGCGGTGTGCCCCCCCCCCCCCCTCCCCTCTCATGCTCACTTCGCCCTCGCCTGGTGACTCTCTGCTCTGCGCCAGAACTCTCAGCACGCGCCACGCGCCCGTGCTTTTGTTAACTCACGTCCATGTATGCATATCCATATCGAGAAAGAGAGGGAGGCGCACATCATGAGCATACACAGCGGCAGGCATGAACGAACGTCTTGGCGGGCGCCGATTTCTTGGATCGGCATTGGACCCCCTGGCTGCGTCTGCAGCGCCCCAGCAGGCACATGGAAATTGACAGTGAGTCCCCTCCCGCCTCCGAGCCTCTTCGTCGACCGCAGGCCGGTCAGGGCGGCACCGGACGAGCGGCGAGGCTCGGCCCAGCTTGCGCAGGTGATCTTTCGACCACCGAGACGCCGACGTCGTGAGGCGTTTTCTCTGCGCAGACCACTGGGGGCCCAGGCTTGAGTCGGGCCTGTCCCTCTACAGGGGGGGTGTTCAAAGATAGTCACAAAATAGTCGGGGAACCATTTTTTGATTATTTTTCAATATGTTTTGGGTATTTTTTTGACAATTTGTCATTTTTCGCTCAAAAAATCCCCCTGTAGGGGGAAACGCCCGACTTGAGCCTAGGTCTCTTCCCCTGGGACGGTTTTTGCATCCTGGGTGCTTTTGCTCACGGTCCCGGGGCACGGTGCGGGCCCCCGGACAACGAAACTAGGCTTAAGTCGGGCCTGTGCCTCTACAGGGGGAATATTCCAAAATTGTAAAAAAGTCTGGGATTTTTTTTTTTTTTTTTTTTTTTTTTTTTTTTTTTTTTTTTTTAAATTATTAAAAAACTATTTTTGGTTTTTTTGACCATTTTGGAGTATTTCTGGAGTATTTTTGATTTTTCGTCGCAAGACTAGAAAAAAAAGCACCTTCCGCCATGATTTTTGCCGCAGCGAGGTGACGTTTCGAGGGCGTCCGCGGTTCGGTCGGTTGGGCTGCGTCGCAGTTCGGCTGGGTCGGCTGTCGTGTCGTTGCTGCCAGCCTGCTGCTTGCAGCCTCTCGGTCTCGTTTTCGCTGTCGTTCTCTTGGGGGACGGCCTCGGGTTCTGAGCGTGTCTGCGTGCCCGCGTGGCAGACGCCGCAGAGCGCCAGGAGATGGCGGAGGCAGAGACGAGCGAGAAGGACAGCCAGGCCGACTACGAGGCCCTCATGAAGGCGATGGCCACCACCCTTCCCGCGTTCCGTTTGTCTTGTCGGTGATTGTTTACATTCTATTGGGCGTTCCAGACAGGGCGTCGCTGCTGACGCATCCGCGCCCTGAGCGGAAGAGGTGTTGGATCCAGGGTTTTGGAGTACATGTGCATGTATGAATGTATGTGTATGTGCATGTGTGTGTGTTTGTGTGTGTATGTCACATAATGTTCAGATGCGTGTATATACATACATATACATTCGCGTCCGCATTCACATTTACATATACACGTATACGTATACACGTACACATACACATACATAAACACATGCACATGCACATGCATAAACATATGTTCATACGTGTACATATCCTTGTACACGCGCATCTACATCTACATAAGATGAGCATACACCTTTACACACATACACATGATTCAGATGCGTATGCACTTACGTATACATATTCACATATTCGTAAGCATACACGTCTATACATGCCTGTAAAATTTGACTATACATCTCCAGATGAATATACACATACGTATACATTCGCATCCAAATGTATACACACATCTATGCTTACACATACGGTTGCACCTACACATCCATATTCAACATGCGCATGCATATACATTCACGTACCCATACACATATACGCAACCATATACGCACATCGACATCGACATTCTCCTCTTCTTCCGCTCCTGCCACCTCCTGCGCTGCTCCCTGGGTGGCTGGGAACTGCGCAGCTGTTGCCATTTTTGTGGGTTCCTGGGAGGTCCAGCGCAGTCGGGGCCACGCTGACCCAGACGAGACATCGCTGTTTCCTGGGTGGTTGCGAACTGCGCAGCTGTCGACACTTTTGTGTGGGTTCCTGCGCGGTCCAGCGGATTCGGGGGCCACGCGGGCCCAGACGAGACCTCGCTGCTCTCTGGGTGGTTGCAAACTGTGCAAATTGTCGCTGCTGTCGTGGGCTCCTGGGAGGTCCAGCGGAGTCGGGGGCCACGCGGACCCAGACGAGGCATCGCTGCTCCCTAGGTGGCTGCGAACTGCGCAGCTGTCGCCACTTTCGTGAGCTCCTGGGAGGTCCGGCGGAGTCGGGGGCCACGCGGACCCAGTAGAGACATCGATGCTCCCTGGGTGGCTACAAACTGCTCAGCTGTTGCCACGTTCGTAGGCTCCTGGGAGGTCCAGCGCAGTCGGGGGCCACGCGGACCCGGACGAGACCTTGCTGCTCTCTGGCTGGCTGCGGTTGCGCAACTGTCAACTTTTCGTGGGCTCCTGGGAGGTCCCTTGGATTCGGGGGCCACGCGGGTCTATCGTGGACCTCGCCGCTTTCTGGGCGGCTGCGAACTGCGCGGCTGTCATCGCCTTCGTGGGCTCCTGGGAGGTCCAGTGCGGTTGGGGGGCAGATCCGTTGGGCACCTCGCTGCTCCCGGGGTGGCTGCGAACTGCGCAACCGTCGCCACTTTCGTGGGCTCCTGGGAGGTCCCGCGGAGTGTATGGGGCAGCGCACATCACTCTGCGACCGCGCGGCTCCGTGGGGGGCTGCGTTTCGCAACACTGTCGCCACGTTCGTGGGCTCCTGGGAGGCACGGCGGAGTGGAGGGCGGCGCAGATCACCTTGGCGCCTCGCGGCTCCGTGGTGGCTGCGAGCCGCGCAGCTGTCGCCGCTTTCGTGCGAGAGTGGCGCGGGTTCCTCCCATGGGAGGTCCTGCGGAGGTGGGAGCGGGGCCTCTGGACTGCAGGCTCTCGTGCTTGCGGTGCGAGTGCATGGCGATAGCCCCGCAGCGGCCCACGACGAGGACGACGACGCCGACGAGGACGCCGAGGACGGCGGCGAGGATGACGACGAGGACGAGGAGGCCGACGAGGACGCAGACACGGACGACGACGAGGACGCCGAGGACGACGACGAGGACGACGAGGACGACGAGGAGGACAACGACGAGGACGAGGACGCTGACGAGGACGCCGAGGCGGCCGACGACGAGGACGCCGACGAGGACGACGAGGACGACGATGAGGACGCCGACGACACGTCGAGGTCGACGAGGACGCCGACGACGACGACGACGACGAGGACGCCGAGCACCGAGAGGGAATCACACGACGAGGCGGCAAACAAGAGGGGACCTGGGGCCGCAAGGGGCCAAACGAGGGTCGGCGACACGAGTGCGTTGGTGGGCCCCACGGAGGGCCAGGAGCACAAGGCTGGACGCCATTCCAACATGCAGCGCCGTGAGCATCCCAGCTGCAGTCGGACCGAGGTATACGATCGAGGTCGGTTCGGGGAGGGTACCCTCGTCTTCTTTGTGCTTGTGGGATGTTCTTGTGCTTCCTGGGGAGGGTCCCCTTGGATGTTCTGTTGGTTTTGGCCCAGCAGAGGGTCTCATGTTCTTGAAGCGTGTCTTTCTGCCCTTGGCCCAACCGTACTCCAAATGTACAGCTACACATCGGAACGCCAGTCCACAATGCAGCGTCGTTGCGATTCACGGCCCCACTACACCCAACGCAGAAGTGGGGGAGGCGAGGGAGATGTCGCCGTGCAAAGCAGCCTTTGGAATATCAGGATGCAGGAGGAAATCGAGGAGGCGGCCGATGAGGCAGGCCGAGGAGAAGGGAGCCGGGACGAGGACAGGGGTGCTGCTGAGCTGCTGAGGCAGGGAAAGTCAGAATGGGGACAGGGGGGATGATGGGAGTTGGAGGACGAGGAGGCCAGGACGAGGACGCCGACGAGGGGAGTGCGAGAACGGGGGCAGGAGGGGATCCGCGGGGACGGGGACGAGGAGGGCAGGACGAGGAGGAGGCCGCTCTGGGAGCAGCTCCCTCCCCAGCACCCGCTCCCAGAGCGGTTGCCATGCCCCCGCAGGAGTCCGCGGAGAAGCGCGCGACCGACGCGAAGTCCCTCGCCGACAAGGAGGGCGAGAAGGTTTGGGGGGGGGGGTGGGGGGGGGCGGTGGGGGGGGGGGGGGGGGGGGGGGGGGGGGGAGGGGTGTGGGTGGGGGGGGGGGAATCCTGGGGCTCGCCTCGCGCACAGGGGACACGGGAAAGGGCATGGAATGGTGAGTTCGTTTGAAGCCGAAGTCTCGGCCAACAGAGGAAAAAGGATATAATGAGGAGGAGGGAGGAGGAGGAGGAGGAGCGGAGAGGAGGAGGAGGAGGAGGAGGAGGAGCATGAGTGAGAGCGAGGAGCCCGAGGGAAGAGGAGAAGGAGGAAGCACAGAAGGAGGAAAGAAGGTTGAGGAGGAAGAGGAAGAGGAGGAGGATGAGGAGCAGGAGGAGGAAGAGGAGGAGGAGGAGGATGAGGAGGACGAGGATGAGGAGGAGGAGGAGGAGGAGGAGGAGGAGGGACGTCGAGGAGGAGGGAGGACCAGTGCAAACGCAAGACTTACCAACGGTGTTGCAATGTGTCCTCCCTCCAAGTTCCCTCGTCAGAGGCCACTGCACGGCTTCGGTTTCACTGAGGGAAGGAGGAGGAAGAGGGAGGAGGAGAAGGAGGAGGAGGAGGAGGAGGAGGAGGAGGAAGAGGAAGATGAAGAGGAATAGCAGGAGGAGGGGGAGGAGGAGGAGGAGGAGGAGGGGGAGGAGGACAAGCTATGTGCGCTCGCGTCATATCTGACGTCCTACTCCTCCCTCCCATCCCTTACCATGGCGCTGATTTTCTCTATCCGCGGACGCGTGTCGTAGCGGACCTGTGGCTCCGCGCGCGCGTGCCCCGTGTGTTTGTGGTGAGTGAAAAGTGATGTGCAGCTACAGTGATTGTGCGTGGTTTTGTGGTCGTTGTTGTGTGAGGTGGGGTGGTGGTGGTGGTGGTGGTGGTGGTGGTGGTGGTGTGTGTGTGCGTGTGTGCGCATGTGCTGTGGTGTGACATGGTGTGGCGTCTTGGTGGTTTGGTGGTGGGCCAGGTGCGTGCGTGCGTGATGGCGGTGGCGGTGGCGGTAGTGGTGATGGTGTGTGTGTGCGTTTGTGTGTGTGTGTGCGTGTGTATGTGTGTGTGTGTGTGCGTGCGTGTGTGTCTGTGTGCGCGCGCGTGTGATGTGGTGTGACGCGGTGTAGCGTGGTGGTGGTGGGTGGGGTAGTGGGGTGGTGGTGGCGGTGCGCGTGCGTGCGTGCGTGCGTGCGTTGGTGGGTGGAAGTGGCGGTGGGCGGGGCGGGGCGCGGTGCGGTGGTGGCGGGCGGATGGGCGCGCGAGAAAGAGGCCGCGCTGGGGCGAGAACGCCATCCTGAACGACGGAGGCAAAACACCGATCCGAAAATGAGACCCACGCTGCAGCGGGAGCACGATTCGGAACGAGCGGGGCCCGAAAATGACGCCGGCGCCTCAGCGAGAGCAGCATTTTGGAAAACAATGCAGGCGAGAACCCAATTCCGGGAAAACCTGTGTGTAAAAAAAACAGTACGCGGGGGGGGGCGGCTACTCCCAAGACGTCATCAGGGGAAGAGGGAGAGTAGTATTCATATTGAGTAATTGTGGAGGAGGAGCAGGAGGAGGAGGAGGAGGAGGAGGAGGAGGAGGCGGAGGCGGAGGCGGAGGAGGAGGAGGAGGAGGAAGGGGAGGAGGAGGAGGGGAGGGGGTAGGGAGGAGGAGGAGGAGGAGGAGCCCTTCTAGAAGAGGAATTCATAATAAGGAGAAGTAATAATAACCATACTAAGAGAAACCGAATAATAATAAACATACCGAAGCTACTAACAATACGAATCTGAATAATTCATAATAATAAGGATGCATAAGAACACGGAAGGAATAATGAATTTCATACTTACGACTTTAAGAAGAAGACGACTCTTACGCATATTACAAATAATACGGACGAATACGAACAAGACTACACTTACTAAGACCGAAAGATAAGTACGTTTGCTAATACGAAAACGAATTCAAGGACTAAGGACTAAGAGTCACGTACGAAATCGTTACTAAGAAGAATACTAACCACCATAATAATACACTAATCACTAAGAAGGCGATTTATTTTTTACTAATAAGAATAATCTTAGGTAATACTAATGATAATACTAGTTACCTTTTTTTTTTTTTTTTTTTTTTTATTTGCCCATACTACTACGACTACGACTATTACTACTACAACTACTACTACTACTACTACTACTACTACTACTACTACTACTACTACTACTACTACAACTACTACTACTCACACTACTACTACTACTACTACTACTACTACTACTACTACTACTACTACTACTACTACTACTACTACTACTACTACTACTACTACTAATAGTAATACTACTAATAGTAAGACTAATAATGCATACTAATAATCAGAATTCTGATAATAAGAATTTTGATAAGAAGTTCGCTACGAATATTAATACTAAGAAGACTACGACTAAGACCAATAACACTACTGCTACTACAAATAATATTATTAAGAAGAAGAGCAGTAATACGAAGAAGAGCCGGAGGATCAGGAGGAGGAGGAGGGACGACGAGGAGGAGGGAGGACCAGTGCAAACGCAAGACTTACCAACGGTGTTGCAATGCACCCTCCCGCCAAGTCCCCTCTTCGGAAGCCCCTGCACGGGTTCAGTTTCACTGAGGGAAGGATGAGGAGGAGGGAGGGAAGGAGGGAGGGAGGGAGGGAGGGAGGGAGGGAGGGAGGAGGAGGAGGAGGAGGAGGAGGAGGAACTCCTCAGGAGGAGGAGGAGGGGAGAGGAGGAGGAGGAGGAGGAGGAGGAGCTCGTCAGGGAGGAGGAGGGAGGAGGAGGAGGAGGAGGTCGGAGCGCCGAGGAGGAGGAGGAGAGGAGGAGGAGGAGGAGGAGGAGGAGAGAGGAGAGGCTAGGAGGGAGAAGGAATGAGAGGAACCTTCAGCGCCGAGGGAGGAGGAGAAGGCGAGGAGAGGAGGCGAAGACGAGGAGGAGGGAGGACACCCAGTGCCAAACGCAAGACATACCAACACGGTGTTGCAATGCACCCTCCCGCCAAGTACCCTTGGCGTACAGCTACCAAGACCGACGTCGGTGCGCTGCTGGAAGGATGATGTAAGGGAGGGAGGGAGGAGGGAGGGGCAGGGAGGGGAGGAGAGGGAGGGAGGGAGGGAGGGAGCGGAGGGGAGGGGACGGAGGAGGAGGAGGAGGAGGAGGAGGAGAGGAGGAAACACATATAGCAGGAGGAGGAGGAGGAGGAGGAGGAAGGAGGAGCGAGAGGAGGAGGAGGAAGCTTCTGTCAGGAAGGAGGATGAGGAGGAGGAGGAGGAGGAGGAGGAGGAGGAGGCGAGGGGAGGGAGGAGGGGGAGGAGAAGGAGGAGGAGGAGGAGGAGGAGGAGGAGGAGAGGAGGAGGAGGAGGAGGAGGAGGAGGAGGGGAGGAGGAGGAGGAGGAGGGGGGAGGGGAGGGGGAGGGGGAGTGGCAGGGGAAGGGGCAGGGCAGGGGGAGGGGGAGGGGGGGGGAAGGGGGGACGGGGAGGAGGAGGAGGAGGAGTGTAAGGGGGAGGAGGAGAGGAGGAGGACGGAGGAGGAAGAGAGAGGAGGAGGAGGAGGAGAGGAGGAGGGAGGAGGAGGAGGAGGGGAGGATGGAGGAGGAGGAGGAGGAGGAGGAGGAGGAGGGACGACGAGGAGGACGAGGACCAGTGCAAACCCAAGACTTACGAACGGTGTTGCAATGCACCTTCCCGCCAAGTTCCCTCTTCAGAGGCCCCTGCACGGGTTCAGTTTCACTGCGGGAAGTGCCCCGTTGGGAGACAACCGTTTGAGCATCCGGAATTGTGTCAGAACGCCATTCCTGGGACATCACCGCCGCGAATCACCGTTCCTATTGCGTCTTGGCGCCCCTGAATCTTGCCAGGACGCAGCCCCTGGGACTTCGACACCGCGGATCAACGAGTCTGTTGCGCCCCGACGTTTCGACGCCGCGCCAAAACACTATGTCTGGGACCTTAACCATGAGAATCTTTCTGGAACTGCTGCACACTCTGAAGACGCATGTGCGTGGCGCGAAGGCGGGAGCCAGACTGTGAAAAGGAACCGACCTCCATCCGTGAAGCTCCGGCGAACGTTTGAGACGCACGTGCGCGGCGCGGAGGCGGGAGCCACATTTCGAGAAGGGGCCGCTCTCCACCCTTGAAACTTCTGCGCACTTCTAGGCTTCAGGGCCATAAAATGGCGAGGAGGTGTCGGGCGAACTGCCCGGCCCGCCCTCTCGACCGGCCTCCAGGTGCGACACGGAGGAGTTATGAGGAGAAGGAATGCAGGAGGGGGAGGCGGTGGACGAGGGAGGCGGAGGAAGAAGGACGAGGATGAGGAAGACGAGGAGGGCCAGGACGAGCAGGAGGACGAGGAGCACGAGGCGCACGAGGAGAATGACGAGGACGTTGAGGTGGAGGGGGCCAGTGGAAATCCAAGACTCATCAACGATGTTGGAATAAACCCTCCCTCCAAGCTCCCTCATCATAGGGCCCTATAAGGATTCATTTCTACTGAGGGAAGTGCCCCGTTGGGAGACAACCGTTTGAAGATCCTGAAGCGTGCCAAACACCATTCTCGGGACTTCAGCGCCACGATTCAACGTGACGATTGCGTTTTGACGATCCTGAATCGTGCCAGGACACCATTCCTGGCATGTCAACACAGCGAATAACGTAAGAATTGCGCCTTGATATTTCTGAATCGTTCCAACGCGCCATGCCTGGTACCTTAACAATGTGAGGCAGCGACATCTTGCAAATGTTTAAGACGAGGGTGCGCGGCGCTAAGGCGAGAGTCACATTGCAAAAATGAGCCGCCCTCAATCCGAGAAATTCTTGCACAGTGTCAAGGCGAGTATGCGCGGCGTTAAAGGGGTCGCCACATTCTGATAAGGAGCCGCCCTCAATCCGCGAGTGTGCGAGTGTGCGCGGCGCTAAAGCGGGAGTCACATTTTGACAAGGAGCCGCTCTCAATCCGCGAAGCTCGTGCAGAGCTTGAAGACGAGAGCACGCGGCGCGAAGGCGAGAGCCACACTTTGGACTGGAGCCGCCCTCCATCCGTGAAGCTCTTGCAACTGTTTAGAGAACGAGCGTGCGCGGCGCTCCTCGGGGACAGGCGCGGTCTTTGGACGATGCCGGGCGCTGTCCCCCTTCTCTTTCATCTGACCCGGCTGTACACTGGGTGCCGTGGCCCAGCGGTTCGCGCTTGTCGTTTTCCAGCTGGGGCGCTGGCCGCAGCGCCGTACACGTCGGTCGTTAAACGTATGTGTTGCCAACTATCCTGAACCATTGGGTCCTCGTTTTGAAGAGGCGATCCCCGCGTCCCACCTCTCCTCCCCTCCTCTTCCTGCTCTTCCCTCCTCCCACCCTTGCCTCTTCCTTCCGCATGTCAACCAATTCGGCACTCCCGTCACCCTCTTCACTTTGGCACACGCCTCTCACGTTTCGTGGCCCACAAGGGGAGCTCCACCAAAGGCCCCAGTGGCTGCGCCCGCATGCCGCCACCCCCTTCACTTTGGCACACACCCCACACGTTTCGTGGCCCCATAGGGAGCTCCATCGAAGGCTCCAGTGGCTGCGCCCGCATGCCGCCACCCCCTTCATTTTGGTGCACTCACACGTTTCGTGGCCCCATAGGCAGCTCGACCTAAGGCCCCAGAGGTTGCACCCGCATGCCGCCAGCCTCCTTAGTTTGGTACACCCCTCGCAAGTTCGGTGGCTCCATATGGAGCTACACCTGAGGCCCCAATGGCTGCGCCCGCATGCCGCCACCACTTCCTTCTGGCACACACCACGGACGTTTGGTGTGGCCACATGGGGAGCTCCACCTGAGGCCCCGGTGGTTGCGCCCGCATGTTGCCATCCCCCCACTTCGGCACACTCCTCACACGTTTCGCGGTCCCACATGGCGCTCCACCTGAGGCTCCAGTGGCTGTGACGGATGGGCCGAGAGGATGAGTTTGTCACCGTGGATCGCAGGCTCATGGGTGAGTGGCGCGAGTGAAGCGAGCGTGCGGCTTCAGTGAAGCGATTCTGCGGATTCGTGCTCTGGGCGCTAGGGGGGCTCGCTGCGGGGGGATCGACCATACGTACTCTTTTGCGCGCTGTGGGGCCAGAGCCCAGTCTATGTTAACACCATCCAACTTTACAATTCTATACCGTTTATTCTGGCCTACGTGTACTCGTGGACCGCGGTGGTGTCGTCGCAATCGAAAGAAGATCGCCTTCCGTCTTCCCCTCGAGTAGGCTACTGGACCTGTCCTGGCACGCGTTCGAACCCGAGTTTTGAGGCGGCTGCAGCCACGGCGATAAAAAGGCCCCCAATGCCTGGGAAGAAAAACGCCCTAAGCCTAAGATGCAACTCTTGGTAAATTCAATTCAGCGTCGCGCTGGTGCATCATTAGTGATTGTCTGGGCTAGCCCCGCCTAGTTCCGCCCAGTGTCCCTTGAATCACGTCTACTTTGGCTAAGTGCTCGGCTCAGTCTGGCCTCATCCGGCTGACTCCTCTGGCCGGTTGCCTCATCCCATTGATTTTGGGTTGATCCGCCGTATTTTCGCCCGCGACGGTTTCCCAGGAAGTGTCAGCCGCGCGCAGAGGGGGGTGGGGGGAGGGGGGAGGGCTTCGTAGAAGCACCCCTGCTGCTCAGAAGGCGCGGGCCTGATCGATAGATGTAAGGCCCAGCGCCCTCTAAGAAGCAGCCTCCTTCTAAGAAGCCCCCCCCCACTCCCCCCTCCCCCTCGTGCGCGTCGCCAGAAGTGGCCTCCCAAATCTCAGGTGCGGCCAAGTGGGGCCCTGGCCCAAGGCGGCCCCAGGCTTCGCAGGGAGGGCCGGGTGGTGCCCGGAGCAGCCCCTCACCAGGCCCAGGGGGCCCGGTGGGTTCCAGAGTAGCGTCAAGTCGGGCGTGTCCCTCCACAGGAGGAATAGCCCCAAATAGTCAGGAACTGGTGTGGGGACGATTTTGATGTTTTCATGTTCGACTTTTTTATACTTTTCGTCCAGAATCCGCCTGTAGGAGGACATGCCCGACCTAAAAGTAGCGCGAGAAGATGGGGACAAAAGGACCAAGTTCGGAGGTCCTCGTGGATTTCTTGGATCGGCGCTGGACTCCCCTGGCGGTGCCTCTGGCGCCGCCCGTGGCACGCTCCGCGCGCCAGGGAGGTTCAGCGCAGATCCAAGAAATCCGCGCGGATCTCCGACAGGTTATGCTGATGCATGTCTCCCTTATCCTAGAACCGTCGATCCACGAACTTCGAGCCTCGAGCATCCTCGGCGTGCCGTAAAGGCGAGCCTCGAGGGGGACCTGCAGTCGCACAAGGGCGACCTGAAGGAGGCCAACACCAACCTTGCAACCACGCTCAAGTACATCCACTCGCTTCACACGGCCGCGGGGAGGAGGAGGATGAGGAGGAGTAGGAGGGGTCGTCGAAGAAGAAGAGGGTATGGGAGGCCTCGGCTGCGCTGTGCCGCACAACATCGATTGTGCGGTCGACCCGACCTGTTCGGCTTCACTCACAGCCATCGTCTTGGTGCTGCAGCCAGGCTTCAATAGTTTGGCAAGGAGCGATGGATTCGGGCGTGTTGTTCGTGCTTGGGCCGTAGTGCGCGTTATGGCCCCCTTGCCCTCCTCCTCCCTGTAGCGTACGGTGGTTTCGCGTCGTGTCGACCAGCGGCCACCCCGCCGCCAGCGTTCAACGTTGAACGCCGCCGGCGACCCAGAAACGGTCGATGTTGAACAATCTGACTTTTCGGAAACGGCCGATCTTTCAAGGTTGAACGATCCCCGCAGTGTCAGGAACCAACTAGAAAAAAAAATTCTCCCTCTCTCTCCTTATCACCGTTCTCCTCCCTCAAACTCATACTCCAGCTTCCTTCTCCCTCCCGCCTCTCCTCATTTCCTTCATCTTCTCCTTTCATCCACCTTTTCCACTCCTTGCTCTTTTCTCCTGCTTCGCAACCGTCGTAGCCATCCTGGCTCAAGTCGCACTTGTTCGAGGCACTCTGTGACTTCGACAGGCTCACTACTCGAAGGCAAAAGGGTCTGTTCTGGCGGGCGCCACGCGTCCTCAGATGGCCACTCTTTGTTTGCACAATGCCCTCCCTTCTGCCGAAGGTGTGCCTATTCGTTTTTCTCTGTTGGGCAGGTTTTACGGCCATCGTCCTGGTTCTGCAGCGAGGGCCGCACAGGTGGGCAAGGAGCGATGGATTCTCAATGCCCCACCTCGCAGCCACTGCAGCAGCGCCGTCTTCTGGACAGCCACGGCCTTCGCAGACAGCGCCGCCACGGTCGTTCGGGCAACAGGCCACGACTCAGCGGCCCTCTTCACTTCAAGCCACCTGTTGTGAAGAAGGACGTTGCGTGCTTTGTCCTCCACGTCCATCCAGCGACCCTCTTCATTTCGACTCGGCGACCCTCGCACAGCGGCCTTCTTCACAGCCAGTCGAGGCACCACGTGAGATGCAGCCGCCCTCTTCGCAGCCAGTCTTGCCGCAATCCCGCCTGGGGCAGACTGAGGAAAGTAGGAGCGGCGATCCTGTTGCTAGCCTTGAACAGGCGCACGAGTCCAAGCCCGAAATCGTGAAGTCTGATTGGCAGGTGCTCAACTTATCTGCTCAGGCTGGGCGAATGGTGCTGAACGCAATCCCCCCTGATCTTGAGCGACAGCCAGAGCCACGTGCAAGAGAGTATTATGTGAAGGCCCAAGACGCCAAGCCCAACGATCTGCCCGTCGAGTACAGCCTAATTGTAAACATACACAACCGGTACAAGCATCTGATGACTGTTCTGGCATCGTATATGATTACCCCCAGAGGGTCTTTTGAGCTGCTTTGTTTTTGCGATGGCTGCAACACGAAAACGTTACAACGTGCCGAGAAGGCTCTCGACACCTATCTGCCGATAGTCTGGAGCAGGAGCGCCGATGCGTGCAGTCCCGAAGTTCTCAAGAAAGTCACTGGTCACGTTTTTGACAGAAGTGTTCAGAAGTCGAACCCGCGTTATTGGGAGCCTGTACGGGAGATGTGTGTCGCCACCTGCGGCGATGCATTCTTTCGCCGCTGTGGTTCCCTGAGGCGCGCGGTGTTGGTCGACCAGACGCCTGCGGTGTACGAGACGGCTTCGAACAACAGGGGCGCGCTTCTGGCCGCAGGCAAGTTCCTGATCATCATGCAGGACGACTGGGTGATCACCCAGATCGGGTGGAACGTACATCTGTCACTTCCCGCGCGCCTCTACGACGACGTCTTCGGCGTATCCGCCAACTGCGCGCACGGATGGTCGGGGCTCAACGGCAGCAAGGTGGGCCGGTGTGACGTGCCGGAGAGGCGCGTGCCGCTCTCCCCCGAGCTCGTGGCGAAGTCGGGCACGTTCTTCGTGCGGCCGACGGGCAACCGAGGGCCCCTGCTGTACAACGCAAGCAAGTTCAGGCGCATGGGCTATCTCCGGAGAGACGTAGGGCAGCGGTCTGCCAGAGCTCGTGGGCCTGCCACCGCTTCCTGGACGACCCAGGCGCGGCGCGGGCGGCCGAGCTGTCGCGAGGCGCTTCGCAGCGGCAGTCCGCGTCAGATCACATGTTAGGTTCCGTGGTGTGCCCCACGGCCCCGTCGGGCAGCGTTGAGTCTCCCGAACTCGGGGGCGTTGAAGAGAGGGGAACGGACTGTGTGCCCCTGTGCGGGTACCAGGACTGGGGCCGTGCAGTCTCCCAGATTTCACGGCCCCCGCTTCTTCCTTCAGCACGGCCTCTGGCCCTACCTCGTCCTCGGGCCAGGATGCGCTGACCCCGCTGTTCCCGGCACCCATCTTCGGCGCATCCGAGAAGCTCTGGTCCTACGGTCCTACTTCTCTCCGATGTCTGAACGAGCTGCAGTTCCTGATGGACGGCGACGACCATGCCCTCCACGTCGCCGCCCTGCGGTCGCAAGGCTGGGTATCGGGCTATGTGCCCTTGCAGTTCATCGTCATCGTTGGGGCGGGGCGCACGGACTCGGACTACAAGGAGTTTTCGGATGCAACCCCTGGGAGGTCAAATTCTGACTTAGCCCTTGTCCGAAATCCCGCTAAATCCGGCTCAATCCCGCTGAATCCCGCTTGATCTGGCTTACTCCCGCTTGATCCGAGGCCCACTCTGGCGTAACAGCCCCCCCTCCGACGGACACCTCCCAGCAGTTGCCTCCTCAGGAGTTCCGAGACAACGGGTTCAAGACTCCGAGCAGACGCACCGGCACAGGCATGTCCCTATTCCGAGGTCAGCTGTGATCTCCGAGGTCGGCGCCTGGCGCCCCGCCCTGGCACGGCGCCGGCGCCGGCCCCGGAACTCCGCGCGGACCTCCGACGGCTCATGCCCGTGCCGGTGCGTCTTCTCGGGAAGACGCGGGAGGCAGAGCGGGCGTACAGGAAGTGGAGGAGTCAGCGGGCGAATAAGTGCACGACATAGAGTTGCCCACCATTGGAGGCACCCGTTCCACGGCGGCTGGGAAGTTGAGGCTCCCTTCTTAGATTGCCACCTTGGGGGTATGAACTTTCCAGGCGCAGTGGGACAGGCGTCCCCGATGGCGGAAAAGGTTATCTGATACCTCACTACCAAGGTTCATTTCGATGCCTCCGATTCGATTCGATTCGATGTCGATGGCCTCCAATTCCGATTTTATTTTACTTCGGATTCCGATGTGGACTCCGATTCCTCAATGGAGGCCTACTAGCCTGCCGATGTCTGCCGATTCGACTTTTCCCGACTCGGCTGCCGATTTCCGGCGATCCGATTCGTGTCGATCGCCGATCCGGCTTGCCGATTCGATTCTGGGCTCACCTGCACCACCCACCAAACCACCCCAACCCAGCCCGAAGGCCTCAACTTGCTCTCCATTCCCAGTGGGGGGGGGGCGTCGGGGAACATCGGAAAAAACACGTGTGGAAGCCGTGCCCCCCCCCCAAGCCCGCAATTCGGGTCTTCGGCTTTAGTGGGGGCGGTCTGGCAGGCAGTCCATACCGTCCTTCGCTCGCCAAGAGGACGGATCTGGCCGTGGCGCTGACGTCCCGGACGCCCGCGGAGGGTCCGAGTCGGCTTCCCGCCGACCTGAGCGGGGAGCGGAGCCTGGGCTCTCCTGGGCGCTGGTTCGACGCCTGCTCCGCCTAGCGGCCGTGCCCGTGGGGGCAAGACACCGCACCACCGCCAAGATGGATCGATCCTTCGGAGGAGGCAGGCGCCCATACCGCTGCCGTTCGCCCGCCCTCCCCTTTTTCTGGGCCTCCTCGGAGGCCCTCGTCGCTACCGCCGGATTCGCCCCGAAGTCCTGGCCAGCACGCGCCCCGTGAGAGGTCCGAGGAGGAGGAGGAGGAGGAGGAGGAGGAGGAGGAGGAGAACGCTCAAGCAGCAGAGTTCCAACGCGCCGAGTTGAAAACGGCACAAGAGCCCAGCGCACATGTAGGAGTGCCGAAGGCTGTGGGGTCGTTGCCGAGTCGCTGCGCCCTTTAGGCTGCCTGCGGCCTGGCCTGTCGGTCTCGGTCGGTTTCGGTTCCACGGTCGATTCGGTCGGCCTTCGGAGGTGCTGTCTCCTCGGACGGCCTTGGGGTCGGCGAAGATGCAATTCTTGACGCTTCGCGCATTCTCACTGGTAGCCGCGGTCGTAGCCCGCCCGCGACCTCCCGCCGCTGGCGCTTCCGCCTGCGGCTGTAAAAAAACAAAAAAAGTCACACTGGCCCAGCCAGACGCGGCCCCTGGGCGAGTCATCGTTAATAGGACAGCGTGGGGGGGCACACAAGGGAAGCACAGAGTTGGGGACACCGGTCTGGCCGAAGATGGTGTTAGTTCGAGCAGATCCCAACGATGACCATCTTGGTGGGACCCGTGGGAGCCTTTTGGAGGCCTCGCGGAGCCTTCATAGGGCTCTCTTGGAGCCTTTTTGGAAGGCTTCGGGGTTCTCTCTGAGCTCTTTCAGGGCCCTTCAGGTATCCTTTTAGGACCTCCTGGGGCCATCCTGGGGGTCACCAGTCAAAGCGGATGCGGCTTGAATTTGCTCCTCCCAAACCCTGGCAGGAGCCATGACCATGGGGTGCTCTTGCGAACTTCAAGGTTGTCTCGGGGCCCTCGTGACCCCTCTTGGGGGTCTCTTGGGCAACCGACCGCCTTGCGGTCTTGAGAACATGATTTTGACCACCTCGAGGCGTCTTTGGGCTGTCTTTGGGACTTTTTGAGCAATATGTGTCCATCTTTGGCTTTGCAACCCCTCGCGATATCCCCGAGAGCCCCAGAGTAGAAGCAGGCGTAGCTCCTTCCCGAAGGAGAAGGAGGGGGGTCTTGAAGAGCTCGTTTTGTAAACGACCCACGGCAAGAGGGCGAATGGGATTCTACGATTGCAGATTGACAAGTGGCACATGTGACCACGACCAGACAAATGGATGAGAGACAGAGAAAGGCTTTGTGGGCAAGCGAGACGGGCATGTAGGGAACACAGGAGGAGGAAGAGGAGGAGGAGGAGGAGGAGGAGGAGGAGGAGGAGGATGAGGAGGAGGAGGAGGAGGAGAAGGAGCCTTGGGGGATGCAGGGAGCTGTTGCCAGGGGGGAGGACCTAGGTCTAGAGATTGACAAATCGGGGCTGTGGACGGGGCCTGAGACACAGGTCTAGATCTCGACGAGTGGCAGGGGGATCCATGTCTAGGAGTCTAAATCTAGACCCGAGGGGTCGTTAGACATGGGATCTAGATCTAGATCCGTGGGGGCTGGAAGACCCAGGTCCTAAGCCGCCTGGGTGGAGGCCTCTATTGGAAAGGCTCGGGAGAAGGCCTCCGTGGGAGTGCGATTCTGTATGCATCTGTGCGCCTGGTGTTGTGGTGTTGTTCTTTGTTCGACTCATGCACTCGTGCCTTCATTGTCGATCGCAATGGTTAGTCGTTGCAATTCAAGTGCATGTTGTACGTCTCATTTCCACGCAGTCGAGGTTTTGTAACCACAATTGGGCATATGGAATTGTGTCGAGCGAACTTGCAACGCTCGGGGTGGCAAGGAGTGCGACTGGCTCTTGAAGTACTACGACGTGCGCAAGGAGATGCGGGCCAGCGAGGTGGACGCCCTCGGGAAGGTTCGCGCAGCGAGTGAACGGAAAGGTGCTGACGATGATCAGAAGGGCGAGAGTGAAGAGGAGGACAAGGAGCAGATGCCAGCAGGAGCCCAGGGTGCATGCACGATGCTGTAACACGCCAGCCCGTCCTAAACGCCCCCTCCTCGCACGCCCCTGCACGGCTCCGTGCCACTACGGGGGAGTGCCTCCCCCCTTGAAGGGCGATCGCCCCCTGGTCCTGCACTGCGGGCGATCGCCCCGTCTGGAGGCGAGGCCGCCGTCCACCGTCCGCGCAGCTGGCCGTGAGCGCCGCGCCGGGGCAGCATCCTCGGGTTCAGTTCCAGAGGAGCGTCCAGCGAACGCCCCCGCGTCGAGAACAAAAACGCCGCGCTCAGCCCGTGTATTTGTTTTGTTCTGCACGCGTGGACGTGCGACCTCAGGGGAGCCTCGGGCGCGAAGCCCGATCTCTGAAGGAGCCGCCGTCCGTATCGTGCAGCCGTTGCAGGCTTTTGGATCCGTGGTGGCAGAGTCACAGGGGGGTCTTGAACGACCATGCTGCGCCGAAGCTGAAGCTGCAGTCCATCTGTGCACCTGTTTGCAATCGTCACGACGAGCGTCCTCGGCGTGAAGGCGAACATTGCATTTCAAAAACGATCACCCGCCATCCGTGTAATTGTTGGAAGCTTTGAAGATGAATGTGTGACGCGATAGGGCGAGAGCCACTTATTTGAACTGACACCGCCCTTTCTTCGTGTAGCAGCTTGAAGCTTCAGACGAATGTGCGCGGCTCTCAGGCGAGAGCCACACGTTGATAGTGACCCCCTTCCGTCCGTGCAGCTGTTGGATATTTCAAGCTTCGGGGTCATACACGGGGAGTAAGGCTGAGGTGAAACGACTAGCCCGCCCGAGAGACACGTCTGGTGGTCAGGCGAGGAGGAGTTATCTAAGTCGACAAAGGATTGAGGAGGAGGAGGAGGTGGAGAATGAGCAGCGACTCGACCACCACCAGGGCCACCGCCAGCGAGGAGGATAACGAGGTCCACGATGCCTCCCCTAGCTGGTGCCTGGAGACGTCCTGAGCGGGAGGCCGAACATCAGTCATCAGCGGCACTGCGCGATCACGAGGCCCCCCCTCTGTCCCACTGACCCTGATGGTGGTGTGTCGTCATCCCGGGCTCCCTGGAGGAGAGGGGGGTCCTCGAAGAAGAACACGCTGCATGCACTCCAGGCGATGCTTAAGAAAACCCAAGTTTTCGGCCAGAATCTCGATTATTCTTAATGTTTCAATGTGAATCCTAAGATTTCAATGGAAATGTTGGGTTTTTATCCAAGTTCTGAGACTATGAATTTCTTAACCCATGATTTCTTAAGCATTTCGCAGGGTGCACACACCTTTCTTGGCTGTCCGCGCTGACCTCTCCGCTCGGCGTGGGACCCCCCCCCCTGCAGGCGCCGCTCCCCCGGCGCGCTGCGCGCTCCGAGCGCCGACTCTCGTGAGCACCCGCGCGCGGAGCTCCGGCACCTCTTGGTCTTTAGAGTCCACCCGCGCAGTAAGGAGGGGCCACTTGCCCGAGGGTGCCCTTGATGGGCCTCTTTTCCACCACCACCACCATAAGTTGGAGGGGGAAGGGGTCCTCCTCCTCCTCCTCCTCCTCCTCCTCCTCCTCCTCCTCCTCCTCCTCCTCCTCCTCCCCTCCAGCTTATGGTGGTGGTGGTGGAAAACAGGCCCATCAGCCCTTGCATCCTGGCCCCTTCGGCCCCTCCTCGGCGACTCTCGCTGGCCAGCCCCGTTCGAAAGACGTCAGCAGGGGCCTCCGGGGCCCTTGGCATCCTTATTGCGCATCCTCATTATGCCGGTTGACTGTACAGTCGGGGCGCCGAAGAAGGAACCCTTTTCGTCGGGGAGGGGCTCGGTATTCCTTTATTATTGTTCCACACCTTGCCAAAGGTTTTCTTGACATTTTCGATGGGACATAGAAGTGTATCCTATGGACAAGAGGCGCCTGGTTCCTTACTTAGGGGTTCCTTAGGTCAACGCCTCGACTGTATGCCGATTTGTGTCTTCCCGATTCCGCTGCTCCCCCGCGGCGGCTTGCCGAGCCCGGCCGTGCCGTGCACGAGGCGCCGGGAGCGCGGGCTGCATACGTCTCCGCTCCGCAGTGGCGCTCGCGGGGCGGCGGGCTCGATTACGCGTGCGCGCAGGGCCGGGGGGGGGCCCAGGCGAGGGGGCGAGGGCGATGCCGAGGAGGAGAGGGAGGACGAGGACGAGGACGATGGGTCGGATGACTGTGGGTACTCCAAATCTCATAATCGTGGGGGGGGGTCAAAGAAGTGTTTGGCGGCCGGTCTGGGACCCCCCCCCCAAGACAGGCAACAAAAGGTCCAAAATCGAGACCCCCCCACAAATGTGTTTGACGAAGCCCGTGAGATCCCCCCCAGAAGCAGACCCCCCCCCCATTGTTATGAGATTCGGAGTACTCTTCGGCACGAACGTCGGAAAGAACGGGTACGATGCCCAACAGCAGTTCCTGTCCATTTTGAACCCGACTCGCCGTCCGCGCCGCCGCGGCCTGTGTCCATTTGAGACAGAAGGTCGCCTGCCCAACAGCGGCCGCCGTTGGTTCGGGACAACATTTGTTGTTGGGCATTGTACCCATGTTTTCCGTACCCATGTCGGGCGTCCCAATTTCTGGGTTTCTCAACAAGCGTGGGGGGGTACCCCCCGACGGGGGGTCAACCTCGCCTCGCCGCCGCGCCGCGACGGGGGTCGGAGCGCCCTTTTGGCGCGCGGTGGCTGCCCGCGACGGGGGTCGAAGTGGGGCTGCCGGTGGGGGTGGCGCCCCCCCGACGCTCCCTGACGGAACATTTTTTTTTTTTTTTTTTTGTTTTTTCTCCGGGACGATCGAAATGGGTACGGAACGAACGGGTACAATGCCCAACAGCAGTTCCTGTTCATTTTGAGCCCGACTCGCCGTCCGCGCCGCCGCGGACAGTGTTCTTCACAGACAAGAAGCCGCCTGCGCAGCAGCGGTCGCTGTCGGTGGTGGACAGCATTTGCTGTTCGGCAGTGTACCCATTTTCTCCGTGTGCCCATTTCGGGCGTCCAACTTTTTTGTCGTATCTTCCTGGGCGGCCTCGAAACTCTCCTACAGCGGCCCAGAGGCCCGAATACGCCCCAGAACGCCTCCAAGATAGCCCAAGGCGACCCAAGGGAGCTCCAAGATGCCCTCGGAGATGCCGACGACGTCCCAAGATTGCCCACAGACGGGCCGCGATATGTATCCTTAAGACTGCTCAAGAGGCCTCCAAGACGACCGAAGAGGCTTCCAAGAAGCCCTCCTGGAGGACCCGACGAAGCCAACAACATGCACTTCTATTTTTTTTGAATGATTTGAGCGTTCTCGCCTTTCCGGCTGCCGACCGCCCACGGCTGCCCAAGAGGCTTCCAAGATTGCCCCCAAACTGCCCAGGTGGTCTCCAAGAGGACCCCGAGACGGCCCAAGAGGACCCCAGGACTGCCAAAGAAACGCCCCCCATGACGGTTCAAGACGGCCACAAGACGGTCAGATATGGCTCCAAGTTGGTCCTTGCCAATAGAAGTTGGCATCTAAGACGCCCCAAGAGGGCCGAAGTGGCGTCCAGGTTCGTCCGCTATGTCTCCAAGACGGCCAAGATGGCACGAGAACGATCCAAGGTGGCTTAAAGACGGCTCCAGAGGCCCCAGAACAGCACAGGAGTCCTCCAGGAGGCCTTCCGGGAGGGCTCGAAGAGGCGAAGCTCACTGATTTTCCAACGATTTGGGCGTTCTGGATTTCCGACCAAGACGGCCGAAAAGGCCTTCAAGTTTGCCCCAAGACAGAACAAGCCCCCCCAGAGGGCCCCGATACGGCCCACGACGATATCAAGGTGGCCCAAGACGGTCTTAATATGGCCTCAAAGACGGCCGAGGTGCCTTCAATACGGGTACGATGGCTTCTAAGTTGGCCCAGGTCTGTTCAAGATTGCCTCCAGGACGGCCCAAGAGGGTCCACGAGGCCTGGCAGTTCGTCCACGATGCCTCCAAGAAGGCCCAAGATGGCCCTGAGACGTCCCACGATGGCCTCAAGACGGCTCAAGGAGGCCCCCGAGACGGCCGAAGAGGTCTTCAAACGGCGCTTCAGGCGGATTCGACGAAACCAAAAACATTGATTATCAACATGTTTTTCACTGATTTTGGCGTTCTCGCCATTTTCTGCTGCCGACCGCCCAAGGCGGTCCAAGAGGCCTCCATTGGCCCGAAACGGCCCAAATGGCCCCTCAAGAGAGCCCCAAGAGGGCCCCAAGACGGCCCAAGAGGACCCGAGGATGGCCCAAGATGCCCCAAATACGGCCCAAGACGGCACCAAGACAGTCCAACATAGCTCCAAGTTGGCCCTCGCCAATTGAAGTTGTCATCCAAGACTGCCTAAGAGGGTTCGAGAGGCTTCCAAGTTCGCCCGCTCTGCCTCTAAGATGGCCCGCGATGGCCTTGATGCCGAAATGATGGATTCCCCATGTGTTTTGCAGGATTTCGGCGTGCCCGGCTGCCGACCGCTCAAGGCGGCCCAAGAGACCTTTTAGATCGCCCAGAGAGAGCCTAAAAGGACCCCAAGAGGGCTTCAAAAGAGGTCACTGAGGGTGCCGACGAAGAATGCAGAAAACCAACCACGCAGTCCATTGCCACTCTAGCACGCCACTGCCGTTCAAGCACGGCGACGAATTCTTGAACTATTGTGTCGGCGCGTTGTAGTATTGCTCGTTGTTCGGTTCCGTACGATTTCAAGACGGCTTCGGAGGAACCAGAGAGCCCACAACAGGGGTCCTCAATGACCCAAAATGGCCCCCCAGGTGGCCCTCGACAGACCCCAGTTTGCTTTATGAAGTTTACAGGACGCTTTCTGAAGTTCACTACAGCAGAATAGGCCCCAGTACTGTCAAAGCTACAATTGGTTGTCTTTGCGTGTGCGTTCGTGCGGTGCTGCCTGGTCTGCGCTAGAACCTAAGCGCGCGCCGAGCGCGCGCGTGTATGTATATATATATATATATATATATATGAATGTGGCGCGACCCAGGCTAGGGTACAGCGTCCTGAGTCAGTAAATTCGCCAGGGCGGAATGTATTCACACTGCATTTCAATGTGTTGCATTGCTTGTTGTTGCTTGGCGTCGCTACGCGTTGCTTTGCAATGATGCTCACTGCTTTGTGGTGTTGTGCGCTGCCTGGCATTATTTTGCTTGGCGTTGCCTTGCATTGCTTGGCATTCCCCGGTATTGCTTGGCACTGCTTGGCACTGCTTGGCATTGTTTGGCGTTGCTTCACGTTGCTTTGCGTTGCTTGGTACTGCGTGGCGTTGTTTGGCGTTTTTGTGTTGATGTGCGTTGCTTGGCATTGTATTTCTTGGCGTTGCTTCGCTTTGCTGTGCATTGTTTGGCATTGCCCGGCACTGCCCGGCACTTCCTGGCATTGCTCAGCGTTGTTCTGCATTCTGCTTGGCGCTGCTCGGCGCTGCTTGGTCTTTGCATGGCTTTGCCTTGCGTCGCTTGGCAAGCGGGAGCCCAGGCAACCCGAGCACCCGAGCAACCTGGGCAATTGGACCATTGGGTAACCAGACAATTGGGCTTAAGCCGGGCCTGTCCTTCTACAGGAGGGATAGTCAGAAATAGTCCCAAAATAAGATGGGGACGATTTTTCGATTAGTTTTTATTGTTTTGGGGCATTCCTTAATTTTCGTCCAAGATCCCCCTGTACAGGGGGACAGGCCCGACCTAAAACTAGGGAACCTGGCCAGCCGGGCAAGGCGGCCACCCGGCCGCAGGGCAAAGTACCCGGCAACAAACACCCGGCAGCCAGGCAGGGCGAGGTGGGCGGCCTGGGCGAGCCGGGGGCCGCCCGAGGAGAGCCGAGCAGCCGCCCAAGGAAGGCCCTGCAGCGGGGCAGCCCCGAGGGACGGCCGACGGGCCTGTTGTCCACCACCACCACCACTCACCACCCACCAAACCACCCCAACCCAACCCGAAGGTCCAAATCTATCCTCGATTTCCAGTGGGGGGGGGGTCGGGGAACGTTGGAAAAACACATGGAACCCGTACCCCCCCCCAACCCGAAATTCGGGTCAAATTCGGGTCTTCGGGTTGGGTTGGGGTGGCCTGGTAGGTAGTCAACCACCACCACCGAGGAGGGCCGAGCAGCCCAAGGAAGGCCCTGCATCGAAGCAGAGCAAACCACATAAACAGAAAGTGTTGGCGCTCCGCGCGGGCTTCTTGGATCCGCGCTGGGCCCCCCTGGCGGCGCCTCCGGCGCCGCCCCTGGCGCGCTCCGCGCGCCAGGGAGGGGGGGTCCGGCGCGGATCCAAGAAGTCTGCGCGAAGCGCCAAAAGTTCATGTTTATGTGGTTTTTCTCTTCTTCTATTGCAGCGGGGCTGCCCCGAGGACGGCGACGGGCCTGTTTTCCACCACCACCACTTCAAGTTGAGGGGGGAAGGAGGTGAAGACGAGGAGGAGGAGGAGGAGGAGGAGGCGGAAGAGGAGGAGGAGGAGGAGGGAGGAGGAGGAGGAGGAGGAGGAGGAGGAGGAGTACGAAGGCATCGAAAACGAGACAACCACGCAAGCAGAAACTTTGGGCGCTCCGCGCGGATCCAAGAAATCCGCGCGGCGCGCCAAAAGTTAATGTTTATGTGGTTTGCTCCTCTTCTGTTGCAGCGGGGTAGCCCCGAGGGACGGCGGCCGCTTCGGCCCGGCGCTCACGAGCTTCCCACAAGCAGGTGAGAACACCTCGGGCAAGCTGTAAGGGGGGATGCTAGAGACATATATCAAGGGGCCCTGGGACACACAAATAGATACACACACATAACAGGATTCCCCTTACATTTACTCATATGTTATGGGTTTTTGTCTTCCCCCACTTCCCATACTTTCCCATATATTCTGGGGGAATCGACGATGAATGGTGCCTGTGTGTGTTTATTCCTTCCTGAATATGTCACAAGTCCATCCGTGCTTCCGCTGCAAGCCAGAACAGACGGTACTCCCGCCTCGCACCTCCCGGGTCACCCACGGGGTGACCGCTGCGGGGCGCGAGCTGCCTCCGCGGGTGCCTCCCGTGCCCAGGCCAAGGCCGTGCTCAACGGCGCAGACTTCTCCTTGCTCCAGACCGCGCAGTCTCTCAGGCCGTGAGGGGGAGGAAACGGAAAGGGGGCAGGAGGAGGAGGAGGAGGAGGAGGAGGAGGAGAGGGGAGGAGGGGGAAGAGAGGAGGAGGAGGAGGAGGAGGAGGAGGAGGAGGAGGAGGAGGAGGAGACGGAAAGGGGGCAGGAGGAGGAGGAGGAGGAAATCACATCTGCAGGAGCACATTTGCACACATGTGGATCTTTCTGGGGGTCCACACACAATGTCTTGGATCGGAATTCGGCCCCCCCGGGGGTGCCTGCGGCGCCGGCCCTTTCGCGCTCGGGGCGCCAGGGATGGGGGCCCAGTGCCGATCCAAGAGAATCCGCGCGGACCTCCGGTCGTGTGTGTGTGTGTGTGTGTGTGTGGTGTGTGTGGTGTGTGTGTGTGTGTGGTGTGTGTGCGTGGTGTGTGTGTGTGTGTGTGTGTGGTGTGTATGTGTGTGTGGTGTGTGTGTGTGTGTTTCTGCAGAGTCTGTTCTTCCTCTAGATACCCTCGGTGAGGCTACAATCTTTGCCGCCCACCCAGGCGCAGCAGCTTACTCCAGGCTCTCTCACTTCTCGAACTGTCTTGCCCGTCCTCTCCCTCACAACCGCGCCGCTGTCTCGCCTGGGCCTGACGATGACATTCGCCGTGTGCCGCTGCATTTTGAATTTGTGCATTTGTTCTAATCTCGGGTCATACGAAGGGGGAGATACAGAAAGGAGGTATACGAGATCTGCTGCATGCAGCTGGTTTCGGCCCTTGTAGCCAGGCGTGTTCCTCTGTGCATTGGCATCTCTGGTGCCGGGAGGCGCCAGAGCAACCAGCTACGCTAACTAGCTGATTCGCTAACCCGCCTTTGCCATCCTCCCCTTTGTCTGCCCTGATAATCGTGGATGTGGCTTCGAGACGTGACGATCCTTATTCATCTACGGCTGAGCACACCCAAAGACATACACCAGAGTAAACCAATGATGCACCGACGATGCCACACTGCCCCCGCCAGGGTCCATTTTGATCCGATCGGTCTGGTCCGACATCTTTTCCAGCTGCCTCGATCCGTGTGGATTCCGATATTCTGATGGCACGAGGCTACCCGATGCTCGCTTGGCGCCGCGGTGCATCCTGACGCAGCCGGCCCGATTCGAGCTCGACTCCGTGCCGGTGCGGCCCGATCCGACGCATGCTCCGATTCGGTGTGATGTCCCAGTGCGATGCTGACTGCTCCCACCCTCGCGTCCCACTCGGCCATGCGCAGAGGGGGCAGGGCGAGGGGGGAAGGCTTCTTGGAAGTGCCCCTGCTTCTCAGGAGGCGCTGGCCTCCTCCCCTTTCTTCTCCTCCTCCTCCTCCTCCTCTTCCTCCTCCGCCTCCTCCTCCTCCTCCTCCTCCCCCTCATCCTTTTCCTTCTCCTCCTCCTCCTCCTCCTCCTCCTCCTCCTCCTCCTCCCTCTCCTCCTTCTCAGTGTTTTCCTCTTCTCCCCCCCCCCCCCTTTGCGCGCCGCCAACCCACGGCACCCTCCCCACGAGTCGCCGCGGGCATCGGCAGGAGGCGCCCCCCACCGCAAGACGAGCGCCCCGCTGTCGCCTGCCAGGCAGTGGGCGGCCCTGGCTTTCGAGCGGGAGCTGCCACGCGTCCACTTAGCAGTTCCTCCTCCTCCCCCTCCTCCCCCTCCTCCTCCTCCTACTCCTCCTCCTCCTCCTCCTCCTCCTCCTCCTCCTCCTCCTCCTCCTCCTCCTCCCCTCCTCCTCCTCCCTCTCCTCCCTCCTCCTCTCCTCCCTCCTCCTCCCCTCCTCCTCCTCCTCCTCCTCCTCCTCCTCCTCCTCCTCTCCCTCCTCCTCCTCCTCCTCCTCCTCCTCCTCCTCCTCCTCCTCCTCCTCCTCCTCCCCCTCCTCCCCCTCCTCCTCCCTCCTCCTTTAGCTGTCGAGCCAGAGAAGGGGTTTGATCACGCCGCTCACGTGCGTCGTGTGCGCGTCCAGCGAGGGCCCGCTCTGGGAAAGGCACGCGAGTGCGCTGTGTGTCTTGCAAGCTGCTCGGGGAAGTTTACCAGCCTCGAACTTATCCCTATCCCTAAGATTGACGCGCCAAAAGGCGATGACAATCTTAGGGATGCGCCCTCAAAAAATATGGGAATCCCTAAGATTGGCATCGTGACGAGGAGATGCCCAGCATAGGGATATGGATATGTTCCAGGCTGGTAAGCTTGGGGAAGTCTCCAAAAGGTTGGCGCATGGGCCGTCCTCCTTCCGTGCAGTTATGGCCCGAGCTTGTACCTGATACCACTAGCTCGAGGAAGACTCCAGAGAGAGCTCCAGCATGAAAACGAACTATCTTCCATGTTTGTGACTGATCGACGGTTCCACAACGTACAGTGGGGGCCCATGCCAAGAAACACCCTGCTTGCTTCCAGGGTGCCCTGGGTTGCTTGGGTTTCGATGGTTTTGCTATGGACAGCGTGACGTTCCACACCAAACATCAATGGACGTCCTGAGGTCCCAGGGTTGGGTTTCTTGTTGAAGGTTTCTTGTGGACTAGCCTCCACTGTATGTGCGCGGCTCTCAGGCGAGAGCCGCCACTGTCGAAGGCCGCCACCCCTCCAGCCTTGCAGACTGCCGCTGCCCCGACGAGGCAGGCGGCACGCCGTCTCCGAGTCGGGGGGGAAGCCGCGGGCCCGTTCGGGCGGCATGCCGGCGCTCTGCGATGAGCCCGGAGAAGTTCGTCTCGTTATCGAGAACAACATCGAGCATTGTGTGTGGGTGGAGGGCAAAGGGTGACATTTGCAATGCCGTTTCGATGGATTTTCGAGGCTTGAATCTGCAAGAGGTGAATCACAAGACGGATTGATGTTCGAGGTGCAAAAGCACATATGGATTTCACCCTGAGCCCCCCACCCTAAGAAAATGCTCAGCAGAAGCCCCAGCCCTAATAATCGAAGAAGGAAAAGCCACGTGAACATAAACTCTTGCCGCTCCGCGCGGATTTCTTGTATCCGGCCCTGGGCCCCCCGGCGGCGCCTCCGGCGCCGCCCCTGGCGCGCGCCGCGCGCCAGGGAGTGGGGCCCAGCGCGAATCCAAGAAATCCACGCGCGGAGCGCCACACGTTTATGTTTATGTGGTTCATTCCTCTCCTTTGCAATTCGCACGAGGAAGGCGTGGCCCCGCTGAGGTCCCCGTCTTGGGGGGCGCGCGGCGCGGGAGGGGGCAGCTGGCGGGGGGCTCGCGCTCCCAGGGAGCTCACCCAGAGCCCCTCGATGGGCCGCTCGTCGGCGGCGAGCGGGGGGGGGGGGAGCGAGAGGGAGAAGGCCTCGTCGGGAGGCGTCGGGACCTCTGGAACGCCCCCGCTGGCCTTCCCGAGCGCCCTTTTTTTTTTCGCGCGTCGCCGGGGAGGGCCCCGCACGCTCCCGAGACGGCCGAAGGACTTCTCCGGCCCTCGGGGGAGGCCCGCCCCGTGCTCACTTCCCCCCCCCCCCCTCCGCGGGCTCGCCGCCGGGTCTCTGGTATGTGTACCCGAGGGGGGAGGGCTCTCCGAGTTGTGTCCGGGCAGGGGGGCTGGCCAGGGACACAAGCTCCCGGCTCGAGGGCGCCCGCGGGGGCGCGAAGCAGTCCGCGCTGCGCGGGTCGGCTCCGGTTCCTTCCCCTCCCCCTCCCCCTCCCCCTCCCCTCCCCCTCCCCCCCCCCTCCCTCCTCCTCCTCCTCCTCCTCTCCTCCTCCTCCTCCTCCTCGCGGGCGCTGACGGGGTCCTGGGGCCGCCGGCTCCCAGGGAGGTGGAGGACCAAGAAGCTGTGTTCGAGGTTATACGTGCGCTCGATCACAAGCCTTTCGCGCATGGACGTGTTGTGATCTGCACTAAGTGTGGGGCATCCTGCACGGGGGATTTTGGCTGGGCTGGTCAGAGCGGCCTCAATTCGCCCTGCCTTGGGACCTCCAGGGAGCCTCGGGCCGTGGCCGCGGTTTTGCGGAAGGTCGGCAAGGTCCAAAAAGGCTTCCACCCCAAAACATGAGCCCCGATAACATAATTATAATTGTGATCGCATTGCGCAGTACTCCGAGGCTGTTGCCCCTGCCGCAGGGCAGGCCGCGCGCGCTATCCGGGGGGGGGAATTCGTTACTTTTCCTCTCCGCGGGGAGGAAACTCGTTGCTTGTCCTCCTCCCCGCGGCGCTGGAGATAGATGCATTGTGCATTGATCTGTTTATCTTCGAGCTGAGCTCAACCTTTTTCTGATGTCAGCTAGTTCCAGTTTTTTTCTGCTGCTTGACTGCTAGGCCCCGTGCCTCCTCCTCCTCCTCCTCCTCCTCCTCCTCCTCCTCCTCCTCCTCCTCCCCTCCTCTCCTCCTCCTCCTCCCTCCCCCCTCCTCCTCCTCCTCCCTCCTCCTCCTCCTCTCCTCTCCTCTCCTCCTCCCTCCTCTCCTCCTCCTCTCCTCCTCCTCCTCCTCCTCCCTCCTCCTCCTCCTCATCCCCTCCCCCTCCCCTCCCCCCTCCTCCCCCTCCTCCCCCTCCTCGTCCGCGTCCTCGTCCTTCTCCTCCTCCTCCCCCCTCCTCCCCCCTCCTCTCCTCCTCCTCCTCCTCCTCCTCCCCCTCCCTCCCCCTCCCCCTCTCCCCTTTGGGGGGGGGGGGGCGGCGCGAGGGCGCGAGGCTGCTCGCGCGTCGCGCTTCGCGCGCGGAATCGCGAGAGTGGGCGCCCTTGCCGGCTCGGGCCTCCCGGACTGCACTCGGCTCGAGCTTTCCCTGATCTCCAAGGGCGCCCTCGAGGGCGCGAAGTTATTCGCGCTTCTCGCTTCGCAGTTCGGCTCCGATTCCTCCTCATCCTCCTTTCTCCCCTGGGAGGCGGCGCGAGAGCGCGAAGCTATTCGCCCTTCGCGCTTCGCGCAGCGCGAAGCGCGAAGTTGGGAGCCCTAGGATCTCGGGGGCGGCAAAGAGGGGGGGGATGACTAGGGGGGGGGTGGATATCATGGCGTGGGCCATGATATTTCCCCAGATCTCATGGCGCATCTTCTTCTTTCAACACGTTCCCTGGCCCCCTCCCTGGGCCGCGCACATGCCGCCGGTCATGATTTGGTCCCCCCCCCTCTTGGATACCCCCCTCTTGGCCGCCCCCGATTGTCACACTGCCCCATGCGGATTTCTGTCGAGTGCTCTTCGGACTCCTGCAGCAGGAGCTGCCGGGGAGAAGCGGACCAGGCTCATCCTGGATGAGTCGGGTGCCCAAGAGGGGGGAGGCGGGAGGAGGGAGGGTGTAGGGTTAAGGTGGGCGTGTCCCCCTACAGGAGGAATATTGAAAAATAGTCAAACATAGTCTGGGGACGATTTTTTGTTCATTCCCTACCTAGGCTCTGCCTAGAAGGGTTCTTACTCGGAGGCTTAAAGGGCCGGGCAGTGGGGCACGCCCCGGGCGTTTCCCCCAGTATCCGCCCCGCGGTTCCCCCAGTTACGTCCCCTAAGCTTAGCGTTGCTTATCTCATCTTAGCTTAGCTTATTTCATCTTAGCTTAGCTTCATCTTAGCTTAACTTAGCTTCATATAGATGTTGTTTTCCTAGATCCTCCAACTCCTAGGTAGGGTCGCACTGGGATAATTTCTCATGTTGTTATTATTCCCCATATCCTAAGATGGGGTTCTTGTTATTACTTGGACGCCTCCTACTCCTCCTCCTCCTTCCTCCTCCTCTTTTCTCCTCCCCTCCTGTCGGACATACTCAGACTTGCTCATACACAGACTTACTCATACTCAGACTTACTCATACTCAGACCTACTCATACTCAGACTTACTCACACTCAGATATACTCATACACAGACTTACTCATACACAGACTTACCCATACACAGTATTAGTCACACCCAGACGTACACATACACAGACTTACTCATACACAGACTTACTCATACTCAGCACCCCTAAGGGGAGCCGCCAGGGGTGGTTGCACGGGCTCGTTCGCGGCCATTTTGTGGGGATGTCTCAGGCGGTTTGCCTGTTTCTGTGCCCAACATCCTTCGCTTTCGGAGCAGATTTGGAGGATGTCTCGAGCGAGGCGCTCATTTCAGCACCCCTAAGGGGAGCCGCCAGGGGTGGTTGCACGGGCTCGTTCGCGGCCATTTTGTGGGGATGTCTCAGGCGGTTTGCCTGTTTCTGTGCCCAACATCCTTCGCTTTCGGAGCAGATTTGGAGGATGTCTCGAGCGAGGCGCTCATTTCAGCACCCCTAAGGGGAGCCGCCAGGGGTGGTTGCACGGGCTCGTTCGCGGCCATTTTGTGGGGATGTCTCAGGCGGTTTGCCTGTTTCTGTGCCCAACATCCTTCGCTTTCGGAGCAGATTTGGAGGATGTCTCGAGCGAGGCGCTCATTTCAGCACCCCTAAGGGGAGCCGCCAGGGGTGGTTGCACGGGCTCGTTCGCGGCCATTTTGTGGGGATGTCTCAGGCGGTTTGCCTGTTTCTGTGCCCAACATCCTTCGCTTTCGGAGCAGATTTGGAGGATGTCTCGAGCGAGGCGCTCATTTCAGCACCCCTAAGGGGAGCCGCCAGGGGTGGTTGCACGGGCTCGTTCGCGGCCATTTTGTGGGGATGTCTCAGGCGGTTTGCTTGTTTCTGTGCCCAACATCCTTCGCTTTCGGAGCAGATTTGGAGGATGTCTCGAGCGAGGCGCTCATTTCAGCACCCCTAAGGGGAGCCGCCAGGGGTGGTTGCACGGGCTCGTTCGCGGCCATTTTGTGGGGATGTCTCAGGCGGTTTGCCTGTTTCTGTGCCCAACATCCTTCGCTTTCGGAGCAGATTTGGAGGATGTCTCGAGCGAGGCGCTCATTTTCACCCCCCAGGTGGGCCAGATTTTGAGGATGTCTCGATCGGTTTGCTAGTTTTGGTGGCCAGGCTCGTGGGCGCAGATTCTTCTCAGGATGCCACAGGAGGCTCCAACAGGCTCCAGGAGGCTCCAGGAGACCACATGAGGTCCCAGGAGGCATCAGGAGGCCACAGAAAGACTCAAGAGGCCACAGGATGTCCCAAGAGGCTCCAGGAGGCCCCAGGAAGCTCCAGAAGGCCTCAGGAAACCACAGGAGACCCCAGGAGACAACAGGAAGCGCCAGGAGGCCTCGGAAGGCAACAGGAGGCCCCGAGAGGCCCCAGGAGCAGGAGGCCTCAGAAGGCAACAGGAGTGGCTCCAATCCCATGTGTTTTACGTATGCTCCTATCGATTGGGCCTCACCTGGAGCACGATTCTTTGATGTTCTACGTATGTTTCTATAGATGGTCCTTCTCCTGTGTACACAATCCTAAATGTTTTACTCATGTTCCTATGTATTGGGCCTCTCCTGGGGCACGAGTCCTTGGTGTTTTACGCGTGTTCCTATATATTGCCCTTCTCCTGTGGCTCTAATCCGCAATGTTTTATGTACGTCTGTTGCTATAGATTGCGCCTCCCCTGGGGCACGAAACCTTCCTAGGAGGTCCCAGGAGGTCCCAAGAGGCTCCTGGAGACCCCAGGAAGCCCCAGTAGGTTTCAGGAGGCCCCAGGAGGCCCCAGGCTCATGCACAGAGACGCGCTCGTACTACTGAGGCTCATTCACACTCCAATTCATTCGCAGTTAGATTGATGTCCAGACCGTCACAACTGAAGCCCGTTAATATTCGAAAGCTCTTGCGCCTAGACATTCACGGCGGACAGGTCCATGCGAGTAGATGCACATATGGGGAGCTCCACGCAGTGAATAATTTTTGTTGTTATTCTCATTATTATTAGTATGATTATTGTTATTTTGATTTCTTGTGTATTTTTTATTGTTCGGCCAAGATCCCCCTGTAGGGGGACAGGCCCGACCTAAGGGTAGGGATGGAGTGGAGGAGGATGAGGACGACGACGACGGCGGCGACGCCGACAGCTCGACGACGACGGCGAACGGCGACGGTGGCGACCGGGGCCAGGCGCTGAGAGCAGCGCTCCTGGGGGACTGGCGGGCTGGCCGGCGCGGGAGTGTGTCGCCGCGGAGGGGGCGCTCGCGCTCGCGCGTGAAGAGAGAGAGAGAGAGAGAGAGAGAGTGGAAATAGGCGGCGGCGGCGGGGCTCGTCGTGGCAGTCGCGGTCGTCGCCGCCGCCGTCGTCGTCGCCCTCAGCCTCATGTTCCCCCCCCGCCTGGCCTGTCGTCAGAACGCCGACCTGGAGAGAAGTACTTGCAATTCGAAGCGGCGGAGACGTGATCGGAAAGGTTCGGAGCGAGGCCGGGCGGATGATGGTGGCCGCCAGAGTCGGAGATAGGTGAAACAGAACGGAAAGGCAAACGGAACTCCCGAACGGCAGAAATCCAGCTCGTTCAGTAGACCCCTGCCAGGAATCTGTGGATCGCTAGTCCCTCTCCCCGCCGAGGGAAACACTATTCGACCCATCAGCGTAATTAGCACAGCTCTCGAACGCTGATGGTCGGGATTTTGGGCGGGATTGCCTTGATGTGACAATCACATGCAGCACGCGCAGGGAGCGCAGCCACGCATCAAGTTCACCAGTCCCCGCACGAGCCCACATTGCTGATGCCTCGCGTATCCTCCTCAGCCTGGTCGCTCTCCTACACTGCACCTGCGTCCTAATCGGCACCTCCGTGGACGTTTTCTCGGTGCTGATTTGTGATGCCTCTCGCGCCGTTTTTGCTGCGTCGTGCCCAGTTCCCCTCTGAGCCGGGCGCCGTTCGCGTCGCTGTTTTTTCCTTTGATTCGGCGCGGCCCGTCCTAGCTTGCTCGGCGTTCGACTCGTCTTCGCGCGCCCGCGTACCAAAAAGTATCCCCCTCAGCCCATCCAGAGAGGAGGCCCAGGGGAGGAGGAGGAGGAGGAGGAGGAGGAGGAGGAGGAGGAGGAATCGCATTGATCATGGAAGTGCGGGGGCATGCTGTGGCACATCAGAGGGTGGGCAACCGTCGAGCCGAAGATCGGGATCCTCCTCCTCCTCCTCCTCTCTCCTCCTCCTCCTTCTCTTCCTCCTCCTCCTCCTCCTCCTCCTCCTCGTCCTCCTCCTGCCGCCCGCCGTGCCTCCTCAGACCTCCCGGTGTCGAGAAGAGCCGCGGCTTTCGAACTAAAGCGCCCACCAGCAGAGAGCATGCCCAGACGCCGACCGTGGCTCATCTGTCGATATGGGAGCCCCTTGACAGCTTGCTTTCTTGGGCCATCCTGGGGCCATGCTTGAGGCCTCTGGGGGTCTCTTGGGGCCCTGTTGGGGTCCCCTGGGGCGTTCTTGAAGCCATGTCGGGGGCCATCGATCAAAATGGGGGGCGACGTCGATTACGGCCCTCCCTCGGAGGCTGGACGGGGTCCAACCCCATATACGTCCTCCGACCCTCCTTCGGCCAATTCTTTTGGAAGCCCGTTTTGAGTTCATCTGTCCCCCAACTGGTCAGGCGGCGCGCCCCACGGGGAAGTGTATTGAATTTGTTCTAGAACCACGCCCATCCCCGACGGAGGAAATCGCCAGGGATTTCGATGGCTCATTGAGCTTAGTTTTCGGACCCTACCTCAATTCTGGTGAATCGCCTGCCGCGGTCAGCTCCAAAAGTATACCCGTCCTACCACCTCCGCCAGGCCGCCAGACCAGGCACGGGAGCCCACAAAGTCCCAAGGTGGCCACCGGAAAATGCGACACCCAGGGCATGAGAGCCCTCCACCGCAGGCAACTTCCCCACAGCCCAGATAACGCCTTCTCAGTGTAAGCACTCGTCGGGGAACAAATGATGAGGGAGAGGATGGCTTTCCCGACGTCCAGAGCCATTTTGAGTCGGAGGTCTATTTCTTCAGGCCGCGCGGCATCTAGTGTACCGTCGACTGGGGTCTTACCCTATTTCGGGGTCGCAGCCATGCCGAACTTCACAACGGAGCAGATCCGGAACATCATGGACCTGACAGATTCCATCCGTTCCATGTCTGTCATCGCACATGTGGATCACGGGAAGTCTACTCTGACGGATTCCCTCATTTGCAAGGCCGGTATCATCTCTGCAAAAGCGGCAGGCGATGCACGCTTCACTGACACAAGGGCGGATGAGCAGGAGCGTGGCGTGACCATCAAAAGTACCGGAGTTTCTTTGTACTTCGAATACGATGATGAAGATGGCAAGGGCGCTAAGCCGCATCTGATCAACCTCATCGATTCCCCTGGCCACGTGGATTTCTCCTCTGAGGTCACGGCCGCACTCCGCATCACCGACGGCGCCATGGTCGTTGTCGATTGCATCGAGGGCTGCGCGGTGCAGACAGAGACCGTGCTGCGTCAGGCCCTGGCGGAGCGCGTGAAGCCGTGCTTGTTTGTGAACAAGGTGGACCGCTGCATTCTGGAGCTGCAGATGGAGCCGGAGGACATGTATCAGCGTTTCCGCAAGGCCATTGAGGATGTCAACGTGATCATTGCAACATACAACGACGAGTTGATGGGAGACAATCAGGTGTCCCCCGACAAGGGCACGGTGGCTTTCGGGAGCGGCCTGCATGGATGGGGGTTCAATGTGGAGCGTTTCGCGAAGATCTACGCTGCGAAGATGGGGGTTGACAAGGACAAGATGATGAAGCGTCTGTGGGGAGAGTCCTTCTTCAACGCCAAGAAGAAGACTTGGACAAACGTAATGCAGCCCGAGGGGTGCGACAAGCCGTTGCCGCGCGCCTTCTGCCAATTCATCATGACCCCGATCAACCAGCTGATGCGTGCGATCATGGACGATCAAAAGGATAAGTACTCGAAGATGATGGAGACGCTCGGCATCGTTCTCAAGGGTGATGACAGGGCCCTGACTGGTAAGCCCCTGATGAAGCGCTCGATGCAGATCTGGATCAACGCAGCCGACACTCTCCTCAACATGATCGTCTCCAAGCTGCCGTCGCCTCGTCAGGCGCAGAAGTACCGCGTGGAGAATCTGTACGAGGGACCCATGGACGACGCAGCTGCGAACGCAATCCGTGCCTGCGACAAAGACGGAGGGCTCATGATGTATGTGTCCAAGATGGTGCCCACCAGCGACAAGGGCCGATTCCACGCCTTCGGCCGCGTCTTCAGCGGCACCATCGCGACTGGACAGAAGGTGCGTATCCAGGGCCCGCACTATACTCCTGGCAGCAAGGAGGACCTCAACGTTAAGAGCATCCAGCGTACCGTGCTGATGATGGGCAGGTCCGTCGAGCAGATCGCCGATGTCCCTTGCGGCAACACCGTGGCCCTTGTAGGCGTGGACCAGTACCTCCTGAAGTCTGGGACCATCACCACCATCGAGGATGCCCACAACATCGCCGACATGAAGTACAGCGTGTCACCCGTGGTCAAGGTGGCCGTGAAAGTGAAGGATGGCAAGGACTTGCCCAAGCTTGTTGAGGGTCTCAAAAAACTGTCCAAGTCCGATCCGTTGGTTGTCTGCACCACCGAGGAGAGCGGCGAACACGTGATCGCTGGCTGCGGCGAGCTGCACGTCGAGATTTGCTTGAAGGATCTCCGGGAGGAGTACGCACAGTGTGACTTCATCGTCTCCGACCCCGTCGTCTCCTACCGCGAGACCGTCTCCGAGACATCCACGCAGACGGCCCTGGCCAAGTCGCCGAACAAGCACAACCGTATCTACTTGGAGGCTGAGCCGATGGCCGAGGAGATCAGCAAGGACATCGAGGACGGGAAGCTTGGCCCCAAGGCGGATGCGAAGGAGCGCGCGAAAGTCTTCCGTGAGAAGTACGACTGGGACGAGTCCGCGGCGCGCAAGATTTGGTGCTGGGGTCCTGAGACCGAGGGCGCTAATGTTGTCGTTGACGTCACGCAGGCCATCCAATACCTCTTGGAAATCAAGGAGCACGTCAACAGCGCCTTCCAGTGGGCCACCAAAGAGGGCCCCCTGTGCGAGGAGAACATGCGCGGCATCCGCTTCAATCTCACAGACTGCACCCTGCACACCGACTCCATCCATCGCGGCGCAGGGCAGATCATGCCGCCCACGCGCCGCGCGTGCTTCGCGGCCGAGATGCTCGGCAAGCCGACGCTGCAGGAGCCCGTCTTCCTCGTGGAGATCACGTGCCCCCAGGAGGCCATGAGCGGCGTGTACAACTGCATGAACCTGCGCCGTGGCTGCGTGTTCGAGGAGAACCCCCGCGAAGGCACGCCCCTGATCCAGGTCAAGGCGTACCTGCCCGTGTCCGAGTCCTTCGGCTTCGTCTCCGCCCTGCGGCAGCAGACCTCTGGCCAGGCCTTCCCCCAGTGCGTCTTCGACCACTGGGAGAACATGCCGGGCAATGCCATGGAGGTCGGGAGCAAGATGAACGAGCTGGTCCTGGCCGTCCGGAAGCGCAAGAACATCAAGGTCGAAATCCCAGCCCTCCACGACTACCTGGACAAGCTCTGAGTCGGTACACTTGCTCTTCCCCTTCCTCTTCCCATCTCTCTTTCACTCCGCCTCTCGGTTAGGGCCAGTGGCAATTCTTAGTTCCGTCCTCTCTCCAGTCTGATCTCTGATTGGATTCCTTTCCGTCCCTACTTTTTCACCCCGATCCTTCTCCCTCCTCCCTCCTCTCTTCTTCCTTCTTCCTCCGCCTTCTCGTCCTCGCCCCCTCTCCTTGTTGCTCCTCTCCCCCTCCCTCTCCCCTCCTCCCTGCCCCCTCCTCATCCTCGCCGTCCTCCTCCTGAGCCTTCCCGATCTCTCCTGGTCCCTCTGGATCCCTCCTCTTCTCCTCTATTCCCCCTCGCTCCCCCCCTCCCCGTCCCCCTCCCGCTCATATGCTGCTGTTCCCGCCCCTCTGCGTGCCCACGCCTGCGCCTCGCACCTGATGCCTCCCCTCTCCCGCCTGCTCTGCGCTCAAGGCCCCTGCGCTCCGCGCGCTGGGGGCGCCCCCGGAGAAACGCAGCAGCATGGGCAAAAGCAAGTGAGACCCGAGGCCGCCGACCGGGTCCGCTTCGGCAGGCGCGGCATTTTGACTTCATGACGCCCGTCGTGCACACGGAAGAGAGAAGGACGGGAGACGAGGAGGACGGGAGACCAGGAGGAGGAGCAGGAGGAGGAGGAGCAGGAGGAGGAGGAGCAGGAGGAGGAGGAGGGACGAG